TCTCAAAAATGGACTAAAATCGCTGCGTAACAGGTTGTCTTGGTATCTATGATGACGAAACTAAGTTTGTGTATTTCATCTTCCCGAAGATCAGAATCAGAGAGAATGATGATTACAGACGATACCTCAAGAAAACACACTGACAAACACTGTTGTTTGTAAAAGGCATTCGACTATGAAACAGTGGTTATTAGAGGAAAAGTGAGTCCCAGAAATCCACCATCAGTATTTGATCATTTGCCATCAAGTGTATTTCCAAGTAATCAAACAAAATCAAGAACAAAGATTAACTTCTTCTTCTGTGCGAATGTGCAGAATGATGATTTGGTGCAGTTTCTTGAAAAGGTCAAAACCCTCTCTTTTGAAAATTTGTATCGAAATATTGATCAACAGGATTTTGCATTAGCAGTTGCATGCTATAAATCACACATGTTCATCCAATCTACTGATTTTATTTTTTCACTGGAAGTATTCCAATGATTTTAATTTAATTTTTTGAAAACTTGAGATTTGAATGATTCCATGCTGGTATATATACATTTTTTTCCCTTTTAGAAATCGAATATCAATGTTTCAGTAGTGGATACAAATCAATGAAGGAATTTGTTAACTTAGTATCTTAAAAATTGATCATAACAAAAAAATATTAAAAGATCATATTAATGTTATGACATCACAAATAATTGTGACATGATTATGACTCCGGTATTCTTATCAGAGCATTTAAATATGTGTCTATATATCGATCAGTACATAACAGACTACACGTTGATTTTTAAGTTATCCGGTGTGAGAGCATTATTAGTTTGACATCAAAAGTCTCAAAATTAGACGAGTTTAATTTCTTTAGTAAAATTTCAGTAAATCAGCAAAAGTGTATTCTTTTAACGGATGAAGTGCATGTCAAAGTTGCTCTACAATATCATAAACGAAATGTATTTGGTTTGGCTGAAAATTCCGGGGTGTAGCAAAATATTTTTGGGCTTCATGATAAAATGTTTAAGTGGTGGACTAAAATCTTCACTTAAAATGATCTCGGTTTAAAAATTAGATGCAACTTTTTTTATATGAAAATTTTTATATACCGTAGATGCAATCAGACACTTAAATGGTTAAGTAATTTAACTTGTATTTGAAACCAACAGGATCCATCAATCTTTTTTTTTTAAAAAATTGGCACTGTTTTTAATATGCCTTGGATAAGTAAAAATGGTTTTTACTTACTTTTTGATTATCTCCACCTTTTAAAAATATACGGAATAATTGAATTACTGAACCTACTTCTCAATTACTGGTTTATTCTGAAGTCAAAAAAAAAAAAAATGACAGCAACATGGGAAATTGTAAAATGTCTTTGTGAGCATGAAAAATCTCAATTTTTTAGGTTGTCGAAACTAACTAACGTAACAATTTACCCCAAACCTGTTGAGCTACAAAATATTTCCTATTGTTTAAATTTTTATCAGATTGTAGCTGCCATTAAAACACACCTATCATTAAATGGGGAGGATACTGCAGAAACAGTTAATTTCATTGAAGAGTGAAAAGCTTGGAAAAATTGTCTGTGTCAAAGACATGTATTGTAATATTAGGTTGGTGCAAAAATAATGTCGTTTTCTCTTTTAAAGTTGAACGTCAAAAAAACGACATTATTTTTGCACCAACCTAATACTAAGAAAAATGATGCACTGAAAAAAGTGATATCAGATAATAGTTTAGCCATTGAACCTACATGCAATGACTATATTGATGTTTGCAGATATTTGCTAAACAGCGGGTTAAATTTTGTTGTGCTTGATGTATTTACCAGATTGTTTAGAAAATCAATTTGGAAATTTAAGACAAAATTCTGGAGGTGGATATTTTATAAGAGTTCAAACTGTTTATTGAAAAAAAAATCATATTGAAAAAACAAACTGAACTACTCCTTGAATTAAATGTCGATGTCAAAGAATACAAGTTTGATCAAGTTCATAAATGTGGATATTTGCTGGATAAAATGGAATACCAAACATTTGATAACTTACAAGACCTTGAAACTAGGATTCCTAAGTTATTAAAATGCCAGTTTTTGTTGTGACCAAATAATGGTAAATAAAAAACAAAACAAGAAGTTGCAAATAAATAGTCTATTGAACAGTAAATGATACACAACTTGGGAGTTTGTGTCGGTTGACCAGCGTTAAGTCTATACGACTGTTAATATTTTACCGTTTACCGTGGGTTCTCCGAACTTGTAGGCTCAGCCAAAAATATTCCCGTAGAACCCGCATAAAAGGGTCCAGGCCTGTCAACTTCCCCGGGCGAAAGTTTGCCCTTCAGCACAGCTTCGTCCGGGTTCATCTCTGTCTTTGGGCGGAGAGTTCGACAAGAGCTGCGAACAATCAGAGCCTGGTAGAACAATCTATAGGATTGTTAATATTTAGCAGCACCCCCACCACCACAAGGGATGTATGTGGCACAAGGCCGAGTTTACCGTAGGCTCGGCTAAAAATATTCGCTTAGAAGCCGCATAAACGGGTTCAGAGCCTGTCTACCTCCCCGGACAAAACTCTGCTCTACGGCAAAGCCTTGTCCGGGTTCCTCTATGCTCGAGGCAAACAGTTCGACAGTTGAACAATCTATGCGACTGTATCTCCGATGCTTACTTTCCTACTAATTTTATAGCAAGTGGAAGAGCCCATTATAGACTCATTAGAGGGAAGACACCACAACATTTTTGTATATAGCAAGCTATTTTACAAGAGTAGACTTAACCGCAGAAAAGGAAATATTTTATAATACTAGTCTTTATTTTCAGGAATATGGATATTTTTTAAAGAAATACATCGTGGTAATTTAAACATTCCACAGTTCGGGGGTCGTTTTCGGTTTTATAATGTTTTCTGCTGTTAAATTGAAGACTTTCTCAATTTCTTTGACAAAAATTTTTATGCTATACTCTGATATATATCAATTTCATATGAAAATATATCAAGGGATTATATTGTCAAATATATTTTTCAAAAATTAATGTTTGTTTGATTCAGCTAAGATAACTCAAGAATTACTAAAACTTTTGAAATTATCTTAAAATAATATAATAAATGTTTATACAATTCTCTTTAAGACTACACAATCAGTATTAAAAAAATTCATATTTTTCAATCTATTCTCTGAAATTGTTATTTATTAATAATTTAACTATACACATAACTGTCCCCAGTCAAGACCCGAGTTGCATGGTTACCAGGTTTGAGTTATGGATCACCTTGGATCACTTATATATATATATATATATATATATATATATATATATATATATATATATATATAGCGTATTGGGGGAAACAAATCATTATTTTAAAATATATTGTTAAATATAACATAATAAATGTCAATTATGACTGATCATGAGCCGTTCCAATGTTCGCATATTTGATTTAATTTTGGGTGAAAATAAAGACAAATATTGGCCAACATTTGGATATTTTTTATTAAGTTGGTCCTTGATCTAAGCTTTCGGCTCACATCCCTGTTCAAAGATTGTCTCTCTGATGCTAATGATAAAGTCATTACATATATTGGTTTTACTACAACCACGCTTTCCCGTGGACTAACCTGTTACCTTTTTGATCTTAGTTCTATTAAACAATATTTCTTAGAAGAAAAAGCCATGTACATAATATTAAATAGATATTAGTTGATAACACAATAATACTCATACTTATACCCAGTAAAAGAACATTCAGATACTGAAGGCCACCTACATTAAAACAAAGCAACCCACACTCCACAAAATTACATTTCAAACTAGTCATGGCATATTACATTGCATCTAAACATATGGTTCTGTTGTCAATATTCCGGCCTCTCACGTTGTGTGGCGTCATAGAACCGTATCTTGAACTTACGACCTGCGCCTGCTATTAATAATATTAATATAATATACCTTTTTTAAAATGTCATTATAGCCACTCTGAAGATGGCTAAGCTCTTAACTGTTGTCGAACTTTCTGCCTTCGAGTAGAGAGGATCCGGGATGAGACTATAACGAAGGGCAGAGTCTCGTTTCTGGTGTTAGACAATCCCGGCCCTGTGTATGCAGGGGTCTACGGGGATATTGTGGCCGAGCCTACGTTAAAAACCGACCTTGTGTTACATCTCGCCTTTGAGCAGAGAGGAACCTGGACATGCATGATGGCTGGCTGGGCTGGCTGGCTGAAGACTGCGTGTAAATACATGAAACTTACAGTAATGGCTATTCACTGCCAACCTGGTTTTTGAATATATATATATATATATATATATATATATATATATATATATATATATATATATATAAAGCTGATAATTAGCTTATTACAATGCGGAATTTTAACAAAAAATTCTAGAAAATTACTTGTATCACCATTGATATGTTACATACAATGATGCGTTGCTTTCGAATACGATTCTGTACTTCAGCACAATAAAAATATCCCCTTGTCCAAAGAGTTGATGAAATGGCAATAGCTTACAACAAGACGGAACGTAAGAGTTCGTTGGCAAAGCGAACTGAGAACTCAATGGATGTAAGAAAGCCCATTGTTCATTTTATTGATATTAGGATTTGTAGAAATTCCTTTAATACGAGGCCGGTCTTCATAAATCTGTTGATTGATACGAGCAATTAATTTTCCTAATGTCACAAATTAATATTAGCAATTCTATCAGAATTTGCTTTATAAACAGGTTCATTGATTGATTTTTTTTTATTACAATTTTATCATTAATTTGCAGTTTTTTTAAAGCCAGGAAATATTTCTGGATTATAATAATTTTTGCCGATAATAATGACTTACTAATATAAACCCAATTAATTAACCCATAGATGGAGGAGGAAGAGGCGCATTCATGCCTTTCTTAAGGGTGTTTGCGTGTAAGTTAATCTAACGAACCTGACGTGAATTAGAACTCTGCTCACCGACTTCCAATTCCGAGCCGTTATCTATTACACCACTCACACCCTCAAGCTTACAGCGTATTCCTAAGCTGTCACCCATCTAGGTACTGGCCAGACTCGACGTTGCTTAACTTCAGCGATCGTACGAAAACCGGTGTTTCAACGTCATATGTCCGTAAGCCCATTATACCATCCTTAGATACAAGCATACAGAACATAATATTATTAAGCGGTCACCCATCTAGATACTGACCAGGCGGGACATTGCTTAACATCGGGGATCGCACAAGAATTAATTTTTCAACTTTATATAATCGTAAGCGCATTATATCACCGGCACATCAAATCTGAGAACACACAGTATTCCCAAGCGGTCACTCATCTGCTTACTGACCAGGCTTGACGTTGCTTATCTTCGATGACGTACGGGAACCAGTGTTTCATTATGATGTGGCCGCAAGCAAGCTACCTTATGAAACAAACTCGTTGATCGCTACAATTAAACTCTTTAAGCCTAAGGTCAACAGTTATCTATCCTACAAATCCTCAAAGTTTACTCTTCTTACCTCATCTTAAATTAATAAGTCAATCTTCTTTGATAACCATCTACTTTGAGTGGCTCTTGGGGCTTGCATTGGTGCGAAAAAATTAGTGAAATATTTCATTTCAAAGCCTTTTGGCTGGCCAGTAAGTTTAACCGTTTCCTCTTGGCGTTGGACATTTTGGAGAGATCAGTTCATCCCCTGAAATTTAATATTCTGCTTCGGATTAATAGTGTATCCAGTTGTTTCATAAATTAAGGACCGGGTTATTGCAAGAAAGATATTACATATTATGCCCGTATATTGCGCCAGAGTTCACGGGAGTCGACAAACGGCCGGAAGGCATTTTCGATCTGGTCGGTATTACTGTATACTCCTGGCGCGTACATGAATCAAAGGCTCAGTAATCAGAAGAGGGGGGAATGTCTCATTGAATAGGAAATGTGGGACCGGACCTCCACGCCTAACTGCATCAATTTCTGCAGCGTGATTTTTGAAGAACGAGATCTTGCTTCCTTCTCCAGCAAGATAATACGCAATTTATTTACAAGTGCTGATCAAAATATTTGAAACATTTGTTTCACCAGTCACCATAATAGACTTGTTTTCACGAAGAAAAAACAGAAAAATAAATGTACACAATACAAAAGAAAGCATGGGGAATTGGATGTTAATTATATAGAAATTTATTTTTGTATTTGGGTGCATTGTCTTGTGTATTTTACGTTAAAATTGTGTTAATGTACATGTTATTAAAGGGAGCAATCCACTCCGTAATATTACAAGTCATATCACAGAGGAAAGTTTCACAAGTGTTGTCTTACTGACGGTCCTTGGGCGAAGAGGTTGAATTTCATGTCTCTTAGAGGGATATCCGTAATTTCGGCATTTTTTGTTGCATGCTGGGAGTAATTTTATATATATATATATATATATATATATATATATATATATATATATATATATATATATATATATATATATATATATATAAATCAGCAGTGCGCATCATAATATTATTAAGCGTACACTGTAATATTGTTAAGCGTATTCTGTGGAGGTTTCTATCAGACTCGATGAATTAATTAGATATAATTATCAAATCCTCCCAATAATTACTGTTTGTGTTTATCATCGCTTGAACCGGCTTCTAATGCTCCAGTTGGCGCGGCTTGGTGAGAGTAGTCGTGGCTCCCGGGGGCACAGTCCTATGGTTACAGAGAACTCAGTAGAGTTCCGCCACGGAATATGTGAGCGAGCGGCGCTAAGTTGAGTCTGATTTGGAATCTCTTCGTCACCGAGGCCCAGTGGAACAGTTGGTATGATGTTCGCTTGGCAACCTAACTGTCAGGGTTTCAATTCTCGGTAGTGGATGCGCACTGCTGATGTGTCCCAAATATAGGATGAAACGGCCGTCCAGTGCTTCCTGCATTCTGTTGAGGTTTCTATCAGACTCGATGAATTAATTAAATATATATAGTTATTTTAAACTTGGTTTAAATATTATTGTTTTATTTTATTTCATTCATAATTTTTATTATTATTATTATTTATTTGTAACAATAATAATATTACTACAATGTAATCACCGAAGTTAAATAACCGCTTGGGAATACCAGTTGATGGAAGCTTGAGGTCTGGTGTCGCATATGCATTTTTGAAGATCGTATGTTGTAGCGAAGAAAGAGCAAGAATCAAGAAGACAGTTCCACAGGAGAGAAGTGCAAGAAAAGAAATGGTTATAGTAGAACTTGCGATTACATCTTCCTATGTAAAAACATGAGACCAAAGTGCCAACAGGTACTACGCTTATATCCGTCTGGTCGAGGTACCAAAGAGGTATGCTTTCGGCAAAATCCAAAGAAGGGTCTGTGCTATTATTAGTCTTGGCTTGGCATCTCGACATCAGTGAATTTCCAATCCGCTGTGACGTGGTTTCCCTATGTCTTTTCTATAAATGTTTTCATTACAGTTGTTCAAATGACTTCTTCTGCTTGGCACCACGACCGCATGAATTTAAGCGCAGTACTAGATTGGCCACTAGGTCTCATCGTTTTACTGTTAAAATAGTTCAAAGATCGCCACGGTGCAGGTCGCAAATGTCCAGGGATGCAATTGTCTGGTACGCAATTGTGCGGGTCGCAAATGTCCAGGGATGCAATTGTCTGGTACGCAATTGTGCGGGTCGCAAATGTCCAGGGATGCAATTGTCTGGTACGCAATTGTGCGGGTCGCCAATGTCCAGGGATGCAGTTGTCTGGTACGCAATTGTGCGGGTCGCAAATGTCCAGGGATTCAATTGTCTGGTACGCAATTGTGCGGGTCGCAAATGTCCAGTTCGAAACTGTCCGTCCAGTGAAATATAATTACAGTAACTTCCTCAAATAATTATATATACACCAACCAAAACACAGCACACCATCAACCTGGCCGGAATGTTTCATATTACCTGGGATGATCGCCCACATCATGAAACGGGATAGTGCATAAAATAAAACTCACGATCCCGTACCCCTTTAATGTAGTAGGGTGATCAAATTTCATTTGGTTATCTTCCCTAAAGCTTATAGCGTCATCCATTTAATCATCGCTAGGTAAGTGATCCGTTACTTTCTTCTGTTTCTCTTACCTGCAACCTGTCTTGTCAGTACCAAATTCTCCAAGCCCACTTTCCTCAATATGCGCCCTAGAACTGTCTCTTTCTGATGTTAACTATAGATGTTTTTTTTTTTTTATTTCATTTTCTCTAGAAAATTGTCGCTGCTCACATATTCGGTTCATGGTATCCTCAGTATCCTTCTGTAAAACCGCATTCCTGCTACTTCAAGTCTATTTTGCATCTGTGATATATTCACTAAGGCGTAACCCCACGTGGAAAAGGCATGAATCCACCTCGTATCCACTAAGCTACAGGTTTTATCACATAAGAGAATGCAAAGATGTCCAGCGTTCAAACGTATATCTTAGGTAAGTTCAATAATTCTAATCGCGAAATTTTTCTAGGGGTGCAAATATCTCGGGACGCAATTGTCTGGTACGCAGTTGTCCCGGACACAAATTTCAAGTATGCAACTGTCCGTTCACCATATTCACTATGTTGTATTCTTCTGTGTACAGTTCTCTTTCAGGAAATTGGCGATCATGGCTCTCCACATTTTCTTGCACTTAGTAGCTTTTAATACATTTTGTCATTTGGTTATCTTCCCTAAAGCTTGTAGCGTCATCCATTTAATCATCGCTAGATAAGTGATCCGTTATTTTCTTCTGTTTCTCTTACCTGGAAACTATCTTTTTAGTACCAAATTTTCCAGATTAAAAGTGTCGCAAGATCTTTCTAGACATTGCCAGTATTTTTTTGTTTCATCGGGCGTTTTTCTTATGATATTGGTAGTGCTAGTTTTCCTCGTCCACACATATTTTTCCACCATTGTTTGATTTTCGGAACTTAGCAATAGTCTCCAAATAAAAATATAATCTATAAAATCCAGAATCTCTTAGATGATTGCGGTACGCACTGCTGGAGTGAACTGAAACTGCTAGCTTAATTTTCTCTTGCTTTAAAAATATTTTTTTCTCTTTTTTATTTATGGTAACTGCCTTTCTGCTTGTTTAGAGTAATTAAAGTATTGGTGTGCAAATTTTTATATTAAACAGCAAGATGGTAACTTCAAAAATTATCAGAGGTATGAAATTCTCTAGGGACGTATTTGTCTAAGGACGCGAATGTTCAGTACGCAAATATTTGTCCACTGATTCTGCCATGATGGTTTTTCCAGGTAGCTAATTCTTACCTACAAACTACGTTCCTTTTGAAAGCTTACAATCAAGAAATGTTCCTATTTTATATACAGTACCGTTAGCAATAAGGCGTGTTTGTACAAATAAGAAAATACCTTTTCCTACTTATGTATCAAGTGTCAAATCAAATGTTTATGATTGGTCACCTTTCTTCTTTCTTTTGCACTATAAAGCCACTAGTATAAGGATTAGTAGAGGAGAATAAAAAGACTCTAGAAAGGAGAAAAGACAATAAAAAACAACAAAAACGTAAACAGTGTGGACACAGATATTGCTTTTTATTAATCCTAGGTAACCAGAAAATAGGAAGCAGGAAGAGTGTTCCACAGGGAAGGAATGTAAGCTAAATTATTAGAATAGAACATGCAGCTGTATCCAGTTATTTCAGTAGTAACACGGTGAAACTGTTATCAATCTAGTAGTACGCTTAAATTCATGAGGTTGAAGTACCAAAAATGAAAGCTCATTAAAAAATTGCAATTATTTTTGAAAAAGACATAAGGAAATGATGTTATGGGAAAACGACTGAAGCCAAGATGGCAGGTTAAGAATGAAAACTTAGCAGACCCTGTTTTGGATTACTAAATATCTCGCGATATATAGCAGACACACCAGACCACATATAGCAGCAACATTCCTGGACGGACGAATACTAGATTTATACATCTGACAGACAGAATAGATACGAAAAAATATCTGGGACGACACAGTGAACCAACTTTCCTAGCAGCCGATCTAGCAGTGGATTCTACATAATCATTCCATATTTTGTCATTGGAAAATGTGAGACGAAGAAGTCAGAATGGGTTGCTCTGGTGGCAGTTAGCATCAGCCATTAGGAGAGAAAGCAAAAATTGTCCCTAAGATGTCTTTGAATTTTTTTTACTGTTCGTCCTAAGAAACATTCGATGTAGAAGGTTAACGATTAAGATGTATTTTGAGAGTTTATAAGGATATACGAGGAAGTTAGCGGTTAACTCCAGACTTGAATAGGATGAGAAGAGTAAAAAATAAAATGTGTGTGGTTCTCTACAATGTCCTGATCTGGCGGGTGTTAACTGTGAAGGTGAGAACTAGGGGATCAAATCAATGTAGTTCGTGTAAACACTTCCTTGGAAACAGAGATAGATCAGCAAGAGACATTCGCTGTTTCATCATTGAGAAAAGGAATCCATAATAGAAAATGAATAGGAGTTTCGAGTTGCTCGATTTGAACTTACATCTCACTAATGAAATTAAGGTGGTTTGCTAAACAGTGCCAAAAATTGTGGAATTTAGAACTCGTAGAAATAAAGAATTTAGTTCGTCTGAGCTTTTTCCACGGAAATAGCGATAGTGCTGGAAGAGGTTTGCATGGTTTCGTTATGTGGGGAATGGATTATAAAAAGACTGAAAAGTGAAGATTGTGCAGCTCCTAACTAATATTTCTTCGCTTTAGTTTTTTGTTATTTATTTAATTGAATACAATCTCAAATCGCTTGTCAGAGTTGAAATACAACAGTTGATAGTATTAAAATCATGTACTTAAAGGAATAATAATTATTACTTCTTAACCCTAATTTAATAGATTTTTTATTGTTTACCAACCCTTTACAGGTTATTTAATGCCAGATTTTTTGATTATCATAATATTGTTTTTAGATAATAATTGTTTAGTGATACAAGTTTTACTAATTAACCGATATTTGGGGGGGGAGAGGTGGATTCGTACATTTCCCAAGCATATTTACGCTTAAGTGAATATAACGAACACAAACACCGATTAAAAATTCTGAGCCATGATACTACATGTACACTGAAGCTTACAATACTTTATATTCCCTAGTGGTCACCCATCTCAGTACTGACCCGGCTCGATGTTGCTTAACTTCGGTGATCGTACGTGACCCTCACTGATAGTAGGGAGTGTATGCAAAGAAATAATCGGAAAAAAAAAGAACGCACGGTGCAGTAATTTGATAGTGGCTCCGATTGAGGGAATGGAGAGACAAGCTCGAATTGCAGTCGGATCCATCACATTCTCTTACGTGGTAATGACCTTGGAAAATGTATGAATCCTCTTCTTCTCCCCTCCCAAGCTATGGGTAAATCGCAAAACAGACTGGGTTCTATAGACTTGCATAGCAACCGGTCTAGAAGAAAAAGCTCTGAATTCAAAACCGGCATGAAGAAGGCTGGGCTCCGTCAGGTTATCTTGCCCAAGAGACACCACTTCTACTGTGGCTGCAGTCGAAGTGGCGTTTCTTGGGCAAGATAGCCTGACTTCTTGGGTAGTATTAGGTTGGGGCAAAAATAATGACGTAATAATGTCGTTTTTTGACCTTTTTTTTTTTTAACGTCACAAAACGACATTATCACGTCATCATTATTTTTGCACCAACCTAATATATGTGGTGGGTACGGGTCACGGAATAATGCAAATAAATATATCAGACATATTTTTCTGGTCGAAATGAATATCTGAGGTGGTAAAATAAAGTTCGTATAACTTTAATAAGCGTTTCTCCCCTACCCGGCTATATTACGTGTATTTGCACGTTTATGCTTACATTTTCTTTTACCTGATATTTACCTTAGTTTGCCAAATTGGCTTCGCTGGAACAAACGGGAACATCAAACATCTCAGCTAATTAACCAACATTTTTCTATCTTGTGGTGAATAAACTACAACAAATCGTAGCATATACGTAATTAAAATCTTATGAGTAGACGTTCCCGCCGTCTAAGTGTGCATGCGCAGAAGATAGCTTCAAGTATATATATATATATATATATATATATATATATATATATATATATAATACAGGTAATAAAACCGCTAGTATATAGTCCAAGTGGATCCTAGTAATATCAAATAAATAGATTGAAATAGATCTATACCACCCATATGACGTAATTTCGGATTTTCTTCTGTAATACACACACACACACACACACACATAGAGCATAGATAGATAGATAGATAGATAGATAGATAGATAGATAGATAGATATTAAAGTAACAAATCCGTTATTATATAATCCTAGTAATATAAATAGAGCTCAACGTATTTATTAATACAGATCAAAATATTTGTTTTCATTGTTTTTAATATATATATATATATATATATATATATATATATATATATATATATATATATATAGGGGAGATAGAGAGAGTGGGTGCAGGATATTTTTAATTTTGTGCATGCGCGTTATTTGTTTGTGCATTCATATATATATATATATATATATATATATATATATATATATATATGTTCCAGTTTTTATACGTATGAGAACAGCAAATCATCCAGACTTCTCGCATGTATATTTTGGTTATAGTAGTGAAGTCCTTGGCAGAACCAAATACATTATTTGAAAAAGCCGAATACAGAGAACTAGCGTATAGAGGTTGACACAATTTCGCAAACAACGGCACTTCTCAAAGTTTTTTTTTTTTCAGAGTCTTCTTTCAACTAGACAGGTTGCCGCCCAAGGCTATAGAACCCAGTCTGTTCTACCATTTTGTTCATATATGAATTATATCCATAACTTTCTCAAGGGTATTTTCATGTAAATTAATCTAACAAAATATATTAGAATTCGAACTCGGATTTCCCATTGGTCCAAGTGAGCGGCTATCGATTATTCTATCGTGCTCACCACCGATTTTACAAATACACACGCATGGTTATGTATGTGTGTGCGTGTGTGTGTGTGTGTGTGTGTGTGTGTGTGTGTGTGTGTGGAAAATAAAAGTTACCAGCAATGAACTCTCCCCATACAGCTGGGATCACTGCTGGTCGCTTCCTCGGGAGATCTGACTGAATCTTCTTGTATTTCCCACCTGGTTAAAATGTGATTATGTTTTTGGCTTAAAAAGAAGCCCTGTTAATAGACGAAGCGGCCCACTATTGTTGACCACTCATCTCTTCTGTTTTGTCGCGATGAGCGTCTTTTTCGCTTGTCTACTAATTGTCACTTGGCCAATCTAGGGGTTGTTAACAGAATTTCTGTTTTTGGAAGAAGAAAACATTCAAAAGAGGTTTTTTTTTAATCATTTTCCCCAGAATTGTTGAAAATCAAAGTTACCATTGATGAACTCTTTCCTCTAGGATGGAAGTCCTACTCTTGCTTTTGACTGAATCTTCCTGTTTTCTTCCACCTGGTTAAAATGTGATTGGACTTAAAAAGAGGCCCTCTTGATAGAGATAGACTGACACAAGGTTCTCAACAAGGGCACTCCTCAGAGTTTATTTTCTTTTTAACTCAGAGTCTTCTTTCAACTAGACAGGTTGCCACCCAAGGCTAAAGAACCCAGTCTGTTCTACCATTTTCTCCATATATGTATTATATTCATAACTTTCCCAAGGTTATATTCATGTAAATGAATCTAACGAAATGCACTGGAATTCGAACTCGGCTTTCCCATTGGTCCAAGCGAGCCGCTATCGATTATTCCACCTTGCCCATCACCGATTTTACAAGCATATAAACACACATGCATATGTGTGTGCGTGTGTGTGTGTGGAAAATAGTACTTACCAGTGATGAAATCTACCAGGAGAGATGTTAGCACTGCTGTTGCTTGTTCGGGAGATTTGACTGGATTTTTTTGTTTTTTCCCACCTGGATGAAATGTGATTTTGCTTGGGATTAAAAGGGGACCTGTTGATAGATGAATCGTCTACTATTATTAACCAATCATCTGATCTATTTCGTTGTAAAGAGCATCTTTTTCGCAAATCTACCAATTGTTACCTGGCCATTCTTGGCGTCTTTCCTATTTCTGGAAGATAAAGCAAGAAATTTAGGAGAATTTTCCACAATATACAAATACCTCGAGAGCATGTTAAACTCAAGTGCATCACTTGATGACGAGATTTCTAAACGCATTGCAAAAGCCAGTGCTACCTTTGGTTGGCTGCGTCTTAGGATATTAGGACGAAAGGGGGATAAAGATTTGCGCTAAAATGCAAGTGTATAAAGCTGTCGTTTTCTCAATTATTTTGTATGGATCTGAAACTTGGACACCTTATAGATGGCACATTAAGCGATTAGATGTCTTCCATAAAGTTTGTCTCCGTACAATCTATGACCTAATGTTTGATGATCGAGTCTCAAATGCCGACCTTTTTGAGAAATGCAAGATTGGTACCATCGAGACCTTCATAATGCAATCACAATTACTTTGGCCTGGCCATGTGGTAAGGATGAGGGATGATCGCATACTAAAACTTCTTTCCACTTCTGAACTCCATAGTGGCCATAGATATGTTGGTAGACCTTGGCTCATGTATAAACATAAATTGAAGAACTTTCTTGCGTCAACATTCCATTCAAAGACTTTGAAGACGTAGCTATGAAGAAATCAGAGTATCGTTCTCGCTTCTATTCAGGAATAATGCACCATCAAGACGTGACAATCATTCAACTACGTGAAACACGAAAGCAACATGAGGCAGGAAACCGTTTCCCTGCTAGACATTCTTCTTTACTGTTTGTTAATTTTTTTGTGCAATTCTCGAGCCGGTCTAAAAAGTCATACCCGTCTTCAGCATGTGGATAATTACTTTTTTGGTCCTCGGAACCTCATACTTCGAACTCGACCATCATATATATATATATATATATATATATATATATATATATATATATAATAATGTCGTTTTTGACGTATTTTAACGTCAAAAACGACATTCTTACATCATTATTTTTTTGAACCAACCTAATATATATATATATATATATATATATATATATATATATATATATATGTAAACATACACACACACACATATATATTTGAGTATAAGTTTCCCCGACGGCCCATGCGGTAAATCTGAAATCCGTCAAGAACATCCCTAACCGCTCCTTGGTGAAATGAAAATCGCCATACATAAAAAGCTAAGGTCCCACACTGAAATATATTCACCACTGCGTCTGTACGTATACCCGAACGCATGAATATGTATCTGCGCCTAACCTCGAATTGCTTATATGGATGTGCTGGTGTAAACTAAAATGCGTGCACCTGTATATATGCGTCTATGCGTATGATAGTACCACCCCAAACAACACACAGACGTAGATTCCCCGCTCCCGCCACCAAGCATAGTCAAACAAGCATAAATAGTTGCAATTTTTAAAAAAATAAAACATTTTTTCTGATTATCGCAAAAGCGTTAAACCCAGGGTTATAAAGTCATATCCATACAACTTATACATATATATATATATATATATATATATTCTACACATGTGTACATACACAGATACGTAGAGAAACTATCGCACACACATCCACACAGACACTTGCGTACACACAAAGAAGCAAAAACAGTCCAACAAAAATAAAAAAGCTCACAATTTTTTTAATTTAATATATAAATAAGTAAAATAAGAATATTCTTAGAAAAGTTTTGCTGATATCTCCTGACGAGTGGACCGTATGATTACATAAAGTGGGTGTAGTTATCTTTAGATCCGGCATACTGTAACCAAGTGGGTTAAGGAGAATTAGTCGATCAGGCAATGCCGAATTGTGCCTTCAAGTGAAACTTTTCTCGTCGTATTTCTCCTGAAATGTTTCATAACTTCACAATTTCGCATCCAGACGTAAACAAAGCAATTTTCTAAACAAAGTAATGGATTTTTATTAATCATTCAGATTGTTTATTATATTAAGCTTTACTTTTAGTGGTTACTCTTATTTGAGTAGACGCCCCGTTTATTTATTAAACAGTAAATTTATTTATTTATTAAATACAGATAAAAAAGAGAGCGAAGATCTAAGTTTGAGCAATGCTTATCCAGAAAATCAAGGAATGCCATTTCGACAGCGTTTGTGTTAAACCTCACGTCAAATAACCCGGTGAATAGATCAGTTATAGCAAATGTAAT